GGTGCTGCTGCTGGGCTGGTGCTGCTGCTGGTGCTGCTGCTGGTGCTGCTGGTGGTGCTCTTGCTGGTGCTGCTGCTGGTGCCGCTGGTGCTGCTGCTGCTGCGGCTGGTGTTGCTGGTTCTCGCGCTGCTGCTGCTGGTGCTGCTGGTGCTGCTGCCGGTGCTGCTGCCGGTGCTGTTGCTGCTGTGAGTGATGCTGGTGGTGGTGGTGCTGCTGCTGGTGTTGCTGGTTCTCGTGCTGCTGATGCTGCTGCTGGTGTTTTTGCTGATGGTGGTGCTGCTGCTGCTGGTGGTGGTGGTGTTGCCGGTGCTGGTGGTAGTGCTGCCGCTGGTGCTGCTGATGGTGGTGCTGCTGCTGGTGCTGTTGCTGCTGCTGGTACTGCTGCTGCTGGTGCTGCTGGTGCTGCTGCTGCTGGTGTTGCTGGTTCTCGTGCTGCTGCTGGTGCTGTTGCTGCTGCTGGTGCTGTTGCTGGTGCTGGTGCTAGTGCTAGTGCTGGTGCTGCTGGTGGTATTGCTGCTGCTGGTGATGCTGTTGCTGGTGCTGCTGCTGGTGTTGCTGGTTCTCGTGCTGCTGGTGCTGTTGCTGGTGGTGGTGTTGCTGCTGCTGCTGATGCTGGTGCTGCTGGTGCAGCTGCTGGTGCTGGTGATAGTGCTGCTGCTGGTGCTGCTGATGGTGGTGGTGCTGCTGCTGGTGATGCCGCTGCTGCCAGTGCTGTTGCTGTGGGTTGCGGTGCTGCTGCTGCTGGTGCTGATGCTGGTGCTGCCGGTGATGGTGGAAGCAGGCAGTGCAACAACCGCCTCGAGAGCGTCCTCTTGGAGGTCTCTTGGAGTTCTCTGATGGTCCTCTTGGGGCTCTTTTGGGGGGTCTTGGGGCCCGCTTGGGGCTCTTTTTGGGGGTATGGGAGGCCTCTGGGGGTCCGTCTTGGCCCCCATTGTTCAAAAAGAGGGGGGCTCTTAATTCCCTCCGTCCCCCCTCGGAGGTCTTGGGGCCCTCTTGGACCGCTCTTGGAGCGCTCTTGGGCGCTCTTGGGGCCCTCGCGGGCCCTCTGGGTGCCATCTGGGCGCCTCCGCAGCCCATCGGGAGCGAAAGAACGAAACGTCAAACAGCAAAGGTTTTCTATTGGTTTTGGAACCATTTTGGCCTCTTGGGGGGCTCCTTGGAGGGCTCGGAGGGCACTGGAAACCATCTCGGGGCCGTTTTGCGGCCTCTTGGATATGTGTCGCAGGCTATCTTGAGCTATCTTGAACTATCTCGGGCCATCTTGGAGGCCATCTTGGGCTCTCTGAGGCCCTCTTGGAGCCATCTTGGGCCGAAAAGGACTCTCTGACACCCCCCCGCCCCCCCCCCCCCCTCCCAGACCCAGGGGATGGGGTGGGGGGAGGGGTTTACCCGAGCAGGGGAACGAGGAGGTTTTGGCAGAGACAAGACATGAATCGCTAAACCACATAAGCCCAGAGGGCTGGTGGGACTGTCACCCTCGCTGTGGATGCATCGACGAGCTGGCGCGCCCTACCCAGTCCCACGTGTTGTCGTTCCAACCCCGCCCCCTTAACGCGGAGGGGCGGTCTTCACGAATTGAGGGTCCTTGCCCCGAGGTTGGAAGGATGATGACATCTTCGATCTGGACGAGACGGCGTGCAACAAGGTGAAGGCGAACCTGGCTGCCTCGCTGGGGTGCCGGCGCATTGAAACATATTTGGGGAAAGTGGCGACTCCCCCGCGTTGCCGGACGAACTCAGGAACCCCCTCGCCACCATTTCCCGTCTTACGCCCCCCCCTGCTCCGCGCAGCGCCCCGCCCCTCCTAGCCCCCTCCTTCCCGGCCACAAGCCACATTCCTGCGGCCCTTGCCCCGCCCCCTCACGCTGCTGTGCGTGTCGGGCTTCTCAGGAGGACACTGCACATACATGCTCCCTCTCCGTCTCCTCCCTTCCCCCGCCCCCCCTCGCACACCTCCTCTTCCTCTTCTTTCTCAGTTCGTTCCTCTTGCTATTACATTTCTCTCCAACTCCCTCTTCTTTCTCCCCCTTAACTCGCTTTCCTGCCTCGCTGCTCTGCCGCGCTGCTCGTTACCCTTTCAGCTCGCGAGTTTCTCCCCGCTCTTCCTCATCCTCTTCTCTTCCGCCTTCATCCCCCTCCTCCCCCCTGCCGCTTCTAAACGAAGTCTCGGGGGGGGGCCGCGAGGCTACTTTTCGAGTCCGCGCCGCCCCCCGCGCGGCGAGCGGGCTCCCGTTCTTGTCGAGCGCCTCCGCCTGCCCCCAGGGCCCGTCTAGAAGCCCCCAGACGGTTTTCAGACAGCCGCTTTGTAGCGTCTAGACGCTCTCACTTGCTCCTTTGGGCCCCCGTGCGCCTTGTGGCAAGGGTCCGAGCGGTGGCCGCGGCCCTCGCGCGGCGGCCCGCCGAACTCGACAGTCCAGGAAGGCTCGCGGGGCCGATTATGGTTGGATTCTTGCCGCGAGGCCCGAAACTGTTGGTTTTCCCTCCCCCTCCTTATTCCCAGCTCGTGCCCCCCTTCTCTCCCTTCCGTTCCCTCTGTCCCCTCCCCCCATCCCTCTCCCTTTCCCGCTCCCCCCTCCCCGTTGGGGGGGTGTCCAGCACTCGCGGATTCCGGCGTGTTCTTCCCTGCCGCCCAGGCTCGCCGTGAAACACCTCAACCAGTCCAAGCCGTTCGCGCAGGCCAGGATGGGCGTGCGGGCTTTCGAGAAGGAGTGGCTGACCGAGCACGTCGAGGACAGTTTCTGCTCCGCGCTGTGCGCGCCCCGCCTCTCCCACCGCCCCCGCCCCCGCCGCTTGCAATCAGTCGGGCAGGGGTTTTCGAGACAGAACGCGCCCCTGACAGTTGTCGGAGCGCAAAGATGGAGTCGAACAAAAACTATGGCTCAATTTCGCCCGTGGCTGCTGTGTCCAGATGGATGCCGATAGGCTTTTCCCAGAGCAGCCGCGATGAGGAAGTCCGCTCGGGGCTGTTCGGGCCGACTCGGCCGGAAAGTGAGGGCGGGGAGTTGCAAGAGGAAAGAATCTGCGCCCTTTCCGACTTGTACAGAATTGTGATAATGCAGCTCCATTTTGCTTTGCCGGAGCGCGCCCAGGAGTTCGTGCGCCTCCGGGACGCCCCTCTGGTGCAAGGCGGGAGCGAGGACGCGGCGTCTTTCCTCATCCGCGAGGCGGAGAGGCAGAAGAAGCTGCAGGACATGAGCGCGGTCAGTTTCACAATCAGCGGCCTCCAGGTCGACTGGAAACCTGCGCCGGGGCCTCGGCCAATCCGCGACGGAGTGGATCACTCTGCTCGATCGTCGTCGTCGTCTTCGTCGCCCCATTCCTCCTCCTCTCCCCCACCCTTCCCCGCCGCGCCTCGGCGCCTGCAAAGTGCAATTCAGGTCGCATCGCGTTTCCCCGCCGATCCATCCAGAAGCGACCCCCCGTCGAGTTGCCTGGGCCAGGGAAGTGCTGGATTGTGCAATTCTTCAAAAGAAGAAACATTCAGCTACGCCGGCATTTTCCAGCCCAGGACTTCGCCATAACAGCGGGGGGGCATCCACGGAAGGCCCGGGGCAATTGGGGCAATTGGGCTTCTTCGGGATTTTCGGAGGCTCGGGGGGATCTCGGAGAGCCTTGCGAGCCACAGCAGCGATGGTGGCTGGCCACCCTCGGAGCTGCCAGCTTGCTATCCCAGGAAACACCAGTAGCCAATAATAGGCGCGTCGATGAAACGAAAGGGGTTATCAGGATTTGCCCGTTCTGGTAAGAACGGCTTTGAAACGTTGGCGGCCATGTCATTTCTCCACGCGTGCTTTCGGCCTTCATGGCCTGGCGCGTTTCCGGCGCGCGGGGGCCGAATCTTTGAACGGCTCGGCGCGGCGCTGCAGGGGTGGGCCGTGGAACGCCGGCTACATCGAGAACTTCTGGGATAATCTCGAGCGATGGGGCCCGAGCATCGACAGGAAGGCCGGCGGCGCGCCCGCCACCAGCAACATGGACGCGTGCAGGATCAGTCGGCACCTCGGCGCTTGCACCATTACGGGGCGGGCGGGCTGGGCGGGGGAGGGCCTTGTGAGGCCGCTTGGAAGTCTGTTATGAGCCGCGTGCGTTTTGGAAGGGAAGGGGGCATTCGCTTTCTTCTGGTTTGCTCTATATCGCTCCCCCCCCTCTCTCACATTCACTCTGTCTCTCTCTCTCTCTCTCTCTCTCTCTCTCTCTCTCTCTCTCTCTCTCTCTCTCTCTCTCTCTCTCTCTCTCTCTCTCTCTCTCTCTCTCTCTCTCTCTCTCTCTCTCTCTCTCTCTCTCTCTCTCTCTCTCTCTCTCTCTCTCTCTCTCTCTCTCTCTCTCTCTCTCTCTCTCCTCCCTTGTCTTGGCTGCCAATCGCAAGCGTTCGCCGCCGCTGCCCGCGGCAAGATTGCACCCCCGGCTGCCCCCCCAAAAAAAAACACAAGTTCGCGCCCCGCGACCCTGGCGGACACTTTTGTTTGATTGGCGCGCGGCCGCATGGCGCGCGCGGCACCCCGAGTCCAGGATGAGTGGTTTGCAGGAGGCGACCGCGAATGCGGTGCGGACCAGGATTCGGCTTTGTCGATTTCCAGCTTTTTTGGATGGAGAGCGAGTCGACAGCGATCGCACGCTTCCAGCACGCCGGGCGGAAATCCTTGAAATGGTGCGCTTGTGTATCCAGTGGCTGGCACCTCTTATTTTCTGCGGAGGGGGTTCGGCCCGAAGAATCCCGACTGCTTTCACGTAGCAGGGGCAGCTCCCATCCTGTCGTCCACGGGGGGGTCGGCCGCCCAGGCTTTCGCCTCAACAACGCGTCGAGTATTATGGCGCTCGTGCGCGCCGTCGTCGGCCACGTGATGCGCACGGGCGGCTGCCCGTACGACTTGTTCGAGCACTTCGCATCGATTCGGGCCCCGGGTCGTGCAAAAAGAGAGGGGGCCGATATTCGTACTGGCATGTCCTGCCTTTTTGGATGCACAGAGCGGGCGCCTCTGCTGCGAAAGTTCTGGACCCCAGGTGACGTGGCTCCTGGAGTCGACGGCCGACGAGATCAGGAACATGTCGATGTCCGACAATATCCAGCAGCACACGAGGCGCCGCCATTCCGAAATCGAGAACATTTTCCAGGTCCGCGGGCAGCCCGCCAAAGCCCTTTGCCCGGTTGTTTTGTGTTCCAGCATCCTCCCCAGAGGATTTTCCATTGGGCCGCGTTTCGCTATATGGCCCCATAGCATCCCCAGGATTGTTGATTTCCGAGTCTTCGCGGGAATTCCCCGAGTTGTCGCTGGGCCACGTGGCAATGGCGCGTGGCCGCATGGCCGATCGCGGGTGGCCCCCATCCCGACGGGCTGGCGTCCCCCGGATCGGTGCTCGACCGTCCAGCCCTCGCTCGGCTGCGCGTGCGTGCCCTTTGTCTCCAACGGGCGATCTCTTTATATATTTCTGGTGGCTTCCAGCCGCATGGCCGACCGCGGGCGCGCCCAATCCCCACGGGCCGGCATCGCCCGAATCGCCGCTCGACATTCCGTCTTTCGTTCGAGGGGGGCTTTCATGTTGGAATGGTTTCGGGCTGCGTGGCTGCTTGCGCGCGTCCCGCAGGTCGCCAACTGGATGAGGTCGATGCCCGCGTGCGCGCCGCAACTGGACGCCAACAAGGCGATCGACGTCGTCAAGTTCGCGTTGACGATGGGGGATCCCCTCCGGCCGTTCGCTAGCCAGGACTGGCTCGCTCCGCTCCTACAGGGTCTCTTGCTCAGCTTTCCGCGGCCGTGCCCGTGGCCACTTCCTTGTCCCGCAAGACGCTAGACTTCCCTATTTTCCTCCACTCCGGTTTCCCGCTCTCGACCTGCCCCTCCCCGACCTCCGTTGCCTTCTCGCCCTCCTCCGCTCCTGGCCCCCGCCCGCCTGCCCCACCCTTGCTCGAATTCCCTCTTCGCCCCCTCGGCCTCTGCTCGCCCGCCCGCCCGCCCGCTCTGCTCGCTCGCCTCTCCTGCGGCCAGCATGTTGAGGTACATGTGCCCAGGGAACATCATGGAACATGTGACGGCCACCTGGAGGGCGGCACCTGCCGTTAATCATTGCGCAAGGTTTCCCATCGAGTTAAGGGCGACGGGTGGTGCACCAAACTCTAGTTCACGCGCACGTAGGCACGTCCCCCCCTGCTGTCCCCCGCCGCCCCCGCGCTCTCCACAAGGGGGGTGGAAGGGGCATGGGGGGGGGACGGGGAAAGGGGGAAGGCGTAGAGGAGGGGGCAACGAAGTCACGATGGACGACGGCGGAGGGAAGAACGGAGGAACTTGAGAGGGGCGGGAGGAGGAGTGTGCGGGTAAGCAAGAAGGAGGCTGATGATGAGCACGAGGGAAGGAGGAGGAGGAGGAGGAGGAGGACGAGGAGAAGGAGGAGGAGGAGGACGAGGAGAAGGAGGAGGAGGAGGAGGAAGACGAGGACGGGGTGACAGGAGGAGGAGGAGGAGGAGGAGGAGGACAAGGAAGAGAGGAGGAGGAGGAAGACGAGGACGAGGAGGAGAAGAGGAGGAGGGGCAGTAGGAGCAAAAATGAGGAATATGATAATGGTAGGGGGGAGGGGTAAACGGGGTGGGCAAGTCGGCCTCCATTCCCGTTTCCTCTTACGCATGCTCCTCCTCCCCCTCCTTCTCCTCGTCCGTCGTGGGGTTCTGGCTCGGCCATCTGGGCGCCCTGTGGGCTCGTATGTTTGGTTTTCGTTGGTACTGATGTGGAACTCTTGTGGCCTCGGCCCCTCCCTCATTCTCAATATTTGCCACCCCCTCGAGCCCTCCTGCCCTATCTTCTCTTCTCCCTCCCCCTCCTGCGTTCGACCCTCTCTATTGTGGCCAGGGAGGGGCGAGAACAGAAGGGGGGGCAGGAGGATCGGCAGCACGCAGGCTCATCTGAAGTTCTTGCTGGGGCTTGTATAGTCTCTCTTGGGCAGCCTCTGGAGCACGCTGGGGGTCTCCTCAAAGTACCCCCTCCTCCGCTTGCAGTCGTGTTCGGGCCGTCTTGGACCTGCTTCGCTCCTCGGCGCACGCTGGAGGGCAGGTTTTTCCGCCTCCTCAGCCTCCAGCCGTCTTTGGGCCGTACTGAAACTTCTTGTTTGCATTCTGTTGGTCAGTATTGGGTGTCCTCTGGCATTTTTGAGGGGTCTCCTGGGCAATTATCGTTCCATCTTGGGCGTTCCCAGGGCCCTCTTGGGCCATCCCGGGTTCCTCTGGCCCGCCTTGGTAACCTCTTGCGGCGGCGGAGAGCCGCATTGGGCCCATCCCGCCACCGTTTCATGGTGGTGGGCCACAGGCTTTTTGGATGTTTGCGTAGGACTCTCGGGCGGCCTCTTGGAAGCATATTTGGTTCTGGGGCGGCCTGTGGTTCTCCCGTGTGCCTTATGGGGGAGGGCTTCCGGGGGCCTCCTTGGGGCATGCTGGGAGTTTGGCGGCAATCTTTGCTCCCGAGGCCCCTTCGCTTTCTTCCTCTTGGGTTCCTCTTGAAGCCTCTTGGCCCTTCCGCGTGGCCGTCGGAGGAAATAGTGGGTCTCTCCTGGGCCGACTTGGGGGCCGCGCGGCCGTCTTGGGGCGATCTTCGGGGCCTCTCTGGCCGATTTCCGCACGCCCACAGGAAACCATTGTGTTTTCCTCATGGGGCCCTCTTGGTCCATCTTGGGGACCTGTTTTGCCCGCGGGAGGCCATCTTAGGTGTATTGGCGCGTTTCTGCACCTCTCGCGGCCATCTTGGATCGTCTTGGTTCCCTGTCGGGAACCTCTTGCGCTGTCTGGGTGCTCTGGGAGTTTCTTTTGAGCCATGTGTGTATGTATGTATGTGTGTATGTGTGTGCGCGCTTCTGCAATATGGGGCGCCTCCTGAGAAAAGTAGGTGTGCGTCGTGTGTTTGTGTGTGAATGAGTGATGTGTGTGCGTTCTTATTCGTATTGCAATTTGTTAGCGAACAGCGAGGTCGTGCGCCAACGTTCCAGAACAGGCTGGCTGTTGTGTGCGCGCCGGGCTTCGACAAAAAGTTTATTGACCAGCACAAGATCGGAATCGAACACCCAGAGATGAGGAGCTACGACAATGTCGTGCGGAGGGTCAGAGCCTGCAAGGGCTTTCACCAGTGGGAGCTCCTCCACAAGGGGGTGATCGAGGAGCTGGGCCGGCGCGGCCTGGCGCACAGACCGTGCCCCTTGACGACGACGCCATTGCTGGACGCCGGGTTCCTCAGCTCGGAAGCCTTCCACAGCAGGAGGGAAAAGGAGGGGGTGCCCGCCTGGCGGGACGGCCAGGCCGGTCGCGCCCTTCAGTCGGACATGGTCCACGTGGCCGCGAGGCGCTTGTTCGACTACAACGTCGCGGAGAGCACGACGAACAAGTCGTTGTTCTCTTCTGGAACTGCGTGGGCGGGGTTCGCGCGGTTGTGCCGCGCGCACTTCGGCAGCGCGATGGACCGCACGTTCGGTCCGCCCGCCTCCTGGTCCGACTCCGTGCGCGCGCTCAACAAGGCAGTGTGGACGGGCGAGCACGACGCCGAGATCGCGAAGCTCGCGAGCACGATGCCGAGCTCGCTGGACGCCATCCAGATAGAGCGGCGGCTTGCCGAGTCGTTTCAGCCAATGGTCCACCTCGTGGCTTTGCATCAGACAGAGACGCAGAGGTTGCAGACGGTCGCGGACAAGAAAAAGGAGGAGGAGGCACAGAAACTGGCGGCCGACCAAAAGCTCCAGGAGGAGAGCGAGGCGGCGGCCAACAGCCCCGCGAAGGTGGCCGACGGGGACGTGACGGACGAGTTGGCCGGGAACCAAGACAGCGCAGCCAAGATGCGGATCGCCGCGGATTTGACCAGGGACGCCCAGGTCAAGAGGGATGCCGCGATGACGAAGAGCTTCAACGAGGCGGCGGCGGATTTGTTGCGCCACCGCATGGCGGTGGTGGAGAATGCGGCGGCGGCGAAGGTCCACGTGGAGACGTCGGTGAAGACGACATCGGCGACGAAATGCAGATTGGCCCTGCTCGACCTGACCCAGCTCAATAAGCTCCAGCCAAGCGGCCACTGGGCGAAGACTCTTTGCACTAAGCCAAGCGAGGCAGTGCAAAAGAGCATCGGCGAGAACATTAAGACTTTGCCCTACTCCCACATAGTGGGGTCCGTGTTGCTGCGGACGGGGGGTGTGGACATCAGCCACCTCAACGCAGAGATCTGCGACGCCATGGAGTGCAGCCGGACGGTGTTCGTCCCGATAGACGTCCCCGGAAAGTTCGAGAGATACATCAAATCGGCGGCGGCCCGGGCACTTGGCCCGATGGCGGACAGTCTGGAGAGGTCCGGGGTGGAGTTCACGGCCCGCACCGTGGGCGCGGCAGCGCCAGACCGCCAGGCGACCAACGGCGGGGAGGAGGAGGACGAGGAGGACGACGGAGAGGGCGAGGACACGTTCAGCACCGAGGACGCGCCCGCCCTGGACGCCATGACTCCGGCCCAGATGAAGAAGCACTTCGGCCGGGACGCTCTGAGCATGCTGGGCACCATGTTCCAGCACACGAGCAAAATCACGGCCCAGGCGGCTTCTTTTTTGGGGGGGCGGGGCCGGCGCGCTGGCCGCATGCTGGCCGAGGGCGCGCGCGCCCGAAACCCAAGGGGCCGGCCTCCCCCGGATCGGCGCGCGCGTGCGCGCGCGCCCCAATCCCCCCGGGGGCGGCCCTTTCTGGAGAGTGGCGCGCGGCCGCATGCTGGCCGAGGGCGCGCGCGCGCGCCCGAAACCCGACGGGCTGGCATCCCCCGGATCGGACCCCCCCCGGGGGAGGCCCTTTTTGGATATTGGCGCGCGGCCGCACGCTGGCCGAGGGCGCGCGCGCGCGCGAACCCCTCGAAACCCGACGGGCCGGCATCCCCCGGATCGGAATTTATTTCCCCGGGGGCGGCCCTTTTTGGAGAGTGGCGCGCGGCCGCATGCTGGCCGAGGGCGCGCGCGCGCGCCCGAAACCCGACGGGCCGGCATCCCCCGGATCGGAATTTATTTCCCCGGGGGCGGCCCTTTCTGGAGAGTGGCGCGCGGCCGCATGCTGGCCGAGGGCGCGCGCGCGCGCGCCCGAAACCCGGCGGGCCGGCATCCCCCGGATCGGAATCCCCCCGGGGGCGGCTCTTTTTGGAGAGTGGCGCGCGCCATGCTGGCCGAGGGCGCGCGCGCGCGCTCGAAACCCGACGGGCTGGCCCCCCCCGGATCGGAATTTACTTCCCCGGGGGCGGCCCTTTCTGGAGAGTGGCGCGCGCCGCATGCTGGCCGAGGCGCGCGCGCGCGCCCGAAACCCGCGGGCCGGCATCCCCCGATTGGAATCCCCCCGGGGCGAGAGTGGCGCGCGGCGGCGCTGGCCGACGCGCGCGCGCGCGCCCCAAACCCGACGGCTGGCATCCCCCGGATCGGCGCGCGCGCGCGCGCCCCCCCCCCCCCGGGGGCGGCCCTTTCTGGCGAGTGGCGCGCGGCCGATGCTGGCCGAGGGCGCGCGCGCGCCCCCAACCCGACGGACCGGCATCCCCCGCATCGGCGCGCGCGCGCGCGCGCCCCAATCCCCCTGGGGGCGGCCCTTTCTGGAGATTGGCGCGCGGCCGCGCGCTGGCCGAGGGCGCGCGCGCGCCCCAAACCCGACGGGCCGGCATCCCCCGGATCGGCGCGCGTGCGCGCGCGCCCCAATCCCCCCGGGGGCGGC